TCAAGATGTTTAAAATATGATACTGTTTCTAAAAGCTTTCAGTTAAACTGGTTTAGCTATGGGAAGTAGGTACATTAAGGATTCCTTTCTTCTGCTGTCACTTAGACTTTTTTTTCTGTAACTTTTCTCACCAGCCAGCAGAAAGGATGACTTTCTTGTTTTAAAGCTTGGCTGCTTGTTGAAGGCAGGCAAAATAAGGATAAAATAAAAACAGCAATTGAGGGTGAAGGTTAAACCTTCTGAACCACAGTGCTCATGTCAGGTTCCACTTGCAGTGTGGCCGTGAGGCAAGAACAATCCTCGTGCTTAGCCTTTCAAAGGGTACGTCAAAGGGTACGCTGTGCATACAAGGCACTCATCTCACTGGTACAATCTGTGCTGTGTGCATTCAGGAGGTAGCAAACACTTTCTGAATGTTATTCCCTAAGGTGGAAGGGGGAAACAACGTGGTTAAAATAGAGATTTTTGATGCACGTGAGGATAACTCCTTTTCTTTTGGTGAATTTGAAGCATGGTATTTAAAAGCAAGCCGGTAGCATTCCAAACATACTTAAACACTTCTCAGACAAACTGTGGAGAATCCAGGTTAAAGACCTGTTTTCCAGCAGCAGTGACACAGGGCATAGCCTTGCTAGGCATCTCCAGCAACTGGGGTGTCTCAGACTGTCCCTGCACCCCGACATCCCATGTCCTTTGTTGGTGCACCAGAACTACCCGAATTCTGGTTTGTTTTCGTGTCCTGAGCATGTGACCCCCAAGGATCACTTTTCCATGGCAACCTAAGAGCGCTACTGTGACAAAATGGGGAAAAATCAGAGAATTAGTCATAATCCTGGGAAAATGTGTGCGTGCTTATGAAGTGATTTTGTATTGAAGGGTCTGAATTGGCAGCTTCTGAAGGTCTAGAAGAGAAATGGCAGAGGTCTCCAAACAACTTAGCTTCTACCATGTGCAAGTGCGTCATCCTTGCAAAGGGCTGGCTGTGGTTTGAGAGTGGGAAGTCTGGCTGGCGTGATTTTGGTGGAGGTTAACGCCTCCTCCGGGGTGTTCCTGCAGAAGCCAACCCGTGTGGTGTCGGAGCAGCTGGCTCCTGCTGGAGGGGCGCTGCGAGAGGGACTGATGCTGGAGGGTCACTGGGGAGGCTGCGTGCTGCAAAACCTTGTCTTGCCCTACCAGGAAGCTGGGAGAGGCAGGGGTGGCTGTACCCAGAAGCGAGGGGTGCTTTTTCCCTTGTTCAGGGCATTCCCCGGGAGGGCGTGGGCTGTTGGCTTTGTGGCCACAGAGGGCAGTTTATTTTCTTGTCTGGATTTAGGTGTTTTGAAAAACACGTGTTGGAAAGAAAACAACCTTTATGGCTTGAAGTAGTTAACCAAGAAAAATCTCCTCTCCTCTCCTTACTGTATTTAAGGGAATTGCTGACTATACTAAATACTATTCTGGAAAACATCTGTTTGAACTTTAATTCTCCCATAACCCCTTAGCTTAGGCTGTGGCATGTGAAACAGGTCCAAAGCGCTCCAACTCCTTATCCTCGTGCTACTGTGGGCTTGTGCCGTGTTGGTAGGACCTGCTAATGAAAGCAGCCTGCTCCTTAGCCCTGTGTATAAACAGGGGAACCACTTTGATTTACAGGAACCTGTGAATTGTTACGCTATCTCCCTGAGAGTATGTTTCTGCTGATAAATGTGTGTGCTTTGCGATGTATTGGCAATGCTCGAACAGGGAGAAGGCTTTTTTCCTCCCGTTAGCTTTTATTTTCTCTCAGAAGCACGCCAAGCTGGGCCCTGAGATAAGGGTTGTCAGTCTAGCAAACTCGGGTTCTTTGTGGCTTGTTTATTTATTTATTTTTATCAACAGTGGTCAGACCAGATAGCAGGAGCTGCTACGAGTTGGGTGGTTCGGTTTCTCTGGCATGGGGAGGGAGGGATGAGAGAGAGGATAATTTTTTAGCTTGCAGCATGGAGTTGTCGATAGTGATATGCATAAAATTGCAATGCTACCTTTGGGGGGTGGGGAACTAAAAGGTTGCCACTGTGGTGCTGCAGCTCCTTAGCTAGCTGGTTTGGATGTTGCAAGTCAACTTCTGGAGGTGGAGGCTTGTAAAGTGGTTGTGAAAGCTGCTCCCCCCTGAGCTGCAGGTGCAAGCAATGTGCTGAAACAATCCACTTGCAGAGAGTTGAATGCCTAAAGAGCTTCCCAACCACCAGCTCCCCTCTGGGAAGAGAGGATACCTTCTTATCTAGCCAGAATCTCTTTCATCTTCTAATTTTGCCAAGAAAAAAAAAAAAGCTGGGAACAAGTTTTGTAACCTGGCTGAAGCCTGAGGGAGGATTCTCCCAGGCAGTACCCGTGCCCATTGTCTTTTAACAATTCCGAGGGGGTTATCAATGCTATCTTCAACAAAATTGTTTCGCTGCCTTTGTCTCTTGCAATTCCCCCATTCAGCTAAATCAACTTAGTGGTATGTTCCTGTAGGCACAGCAGCATCAGCTTACCGTGTTCCTCCTAGGGCAGCCCAGCATCTGACAGACAGGATTCCTGATAACCCAGGAGAACTCAGGTGACTAGGAACTGAAAGGAAACGGGGAAACCCTGCCTGATGGTAGAAGACAGGAGAAGCAACCGTGTGCTTTGCAGCAATCTGTTAGCAAATCAAGAATTGGCAATAATTGAGTTCCGCAGAAGAAATTCTTGGTTTAGGCATCTCTCACTTGGTTGTTGTTCAGAGACCAAAATTAGACTGCTGGCTTCCACGTGCAGTCTTTGGAAGAGGAAAACGCCTCTGATGATGCAGCACACCCCAGGTGTCTCCGGGAATTTTGCCCTAATTGTATGTTGTCTTCCCTACTTCTGTCTGTTGAGTTGCTGTCGGTGTCACCCAGCCAGCCCTGTTCCGAGGGCAGGGAGGGCCGCCTTTGAAAGGTACGTTCATAAGACTTGTAAAGTTTGTTATACTAATGAGGCTTCATTAAACTGGAAGGGAGAGGGCAGACCTGTCCTGATGTAATCAGGAGGGCCACTCGCTGAGGACGGCACGCTGCATTGAGGGCTGTAGTTCAGCGTTCAGCAGCCACTGGGAAGAAAGCATCCAGCTGTTGGGCTGGAGTACGGGCCAGACGCTGCCGTGATCCAGCTGGATGTGAACTTAAAATCCACGTGGGAGGCTTGACTTGCATGCAGGGGGAAAATGTACAGAGTAGTTGGCTTAGCTTCCTTCAGAGGAGTGTTTTTGATGCCACGGTCTGTGCTGCTGAAGGAAATCTAGCAGGTAAGCGGCAGCATCCTTAATCCTTTCTGCACTGTAGGAGGGCTGAGCTTGGTGAACAAAGCATCAGATCCTCATCCGTGGGACACATTAGAAATCTGTTGGCAGCGTTACAAGTGTGGAGTGGGATAACTTCATTTCTCTCCCTCCCCCTCCGAATTAGGCAGGAAACCAAGGGGGCAGACACAGAGTTGATTGTAGCATCAGTTCCAGGCTTGCCATGTGGCATTTTAAATGTCATCTTGAAATGATGTTTCAAGGCGGGGGTGTGCACAGACAAAGAAATCTTCTGTGCTAGAGGCTAATTGACTTGAAAGATCAAAATTTTAAAGACAGCCCTTTTGTGAGTTAGGTATGAGCAAAGTAGTGACATGGAGCTAGGGAAACCCCCCTCTTCAGTAGGATGACTTCCAGTTTTAACAACAAATTTACGTATTTCCACCCATAATGCAGTTACTTCCTTTTTTTTTTTTTTTTTTTTTGCCTAACTTGAAATGTCAGTCATGGCTGTTTGAATCATGTGCATCTCTGGTCAGTGCTGGTGTGTTGTGAATTCCTCTAAGTACTACGTAAGGATCTGAAAGTTATGCTGCCTTCCCCGGGTCTCATATCTGTTTGCACAGGATATCAAAAAGGAAAATACCTGCCTCTACACCTCTCAAATTTAGTTGGAATTATCCAACAATTTTGAAACTTGTCCCCCAAAAAATCTTCCTTTGGTGTAAATATCCAGTTAACTGAAGAAGCCGTGACTGAAAGGGAGGTTCCTTCAAAATTGAAAGTATTCTTGTGGTCAAGTGTAAAGAAACAGTAACTTTTGCAAAATTAGGTATTTTTCCCCCTGAGCTTTATGTGTTCATGTAAGGAACAGTATGATAGAAGCGCTGAAATGCATCTCCGTCTGTTTTTTCTTTTAACCCAGTGTTGACCAGTTGGTTTATACCAGTTTTCTCCCTCTTCATTAAAAGAAAAAAATTCTCCCTTTCTTCATTAAAAACAGGGTTCAGCTTGCACTGGGGTTCAGGTTGTGCTTTCTCAATTTCCCAGCTATGCTTTGTGTGTTTGCACACTGATATGTTTTCAGTGCGACAGCGTCTGATAGGCTCTGGCTGAATCTGTCAGTCCTCAGGTATGAGCAGTGTCACATCCTGCAATTTTAATTACTGTGCTGTGTACTGTCAGAACACTGTACCTGAGGTTTGCAAGCTGTTTTACATTCCTCCTCGTAAGCGTGTGTTTGCCTGCCTGCTGGCTGGCTGTCAGGTTTGCTGCGCCTCTCCAGGTGGCTGAGGGAGCATTTGATTTATTTATCCTAGCTGTCTAGTACAGTCTGCTGCATCTTCTGAAAGGTGGGGGGTGTAGGAAGGCTGGCTTTCTTTAAACTATTTTGGAACAAATCCTCCAGATGCTATATCCTCTGGGGTTATCTTGAAAGGAAGACCTAAAACTAATTGTAAGTTAAGGCAGCCTTCATACCTGAAGTGTTAGAAGGTGAGTGAAAAGAGCTGGTCTCTTTATAATACAGCTCCTTTTAATATCTCTTATGCACAAGATTGCCTCTTCTGCTCTTATTTTTCCATGTGAACTGTGGATACCTACTTAGTAAGGTTTCTAAATGCTAGAAAATACAAAAGGGTGCTCATGTGTGTTTCTGATTTTCCTTTCCCTCCCCTTGGATGTCGTAGATGTTTGGCTTAACACTTACTGTTTCTTTGTCTTTGTTTTTTTGTTCTAGATTGAGGTGCTCCTAATCAACCAGATCTTTTGGGAATTTTTTAAAAGAAACTTTGGTGGGTAAAAGATGTGCCATGGAATGGTAGCACCAAAGAGCAACACAGGATCGTCTCTTGCCTTGACCGGCCATGGGTTATTTCTTCTGCTAGTTATCTTTGGTACCTGTGTCTTGGAAGCACAGGCCACAGGTAAGTGAAACCTTTGCTTGCCTATACTGCAGGGAGGGGGAGATGCAGATGGCCTTATTTTTATGGGGAGCTGGAAGCGGTTGTATTTGCATGCATCTTTCAGTACTCACAGGAAAAATTCGACCACTACTTGTTAAACAAAGGGCAGCATCTGAAATGAACTAGTCTTGCGTACAAGCAAAATGAGTGCTCATTCTTTACACTGCTGTTTTGATTCCCCCAGCTTTTTTTCTCTGCATTCTCATCTCTTTACTGCAGCTGGGGGCGCCAGGACTGTCTGAAGAGCGAGCATGGACCACATTTTAGTTGAGTGATATTCTCATGTAGATGCTTTTACTTGTATGCCCTGTAGCTACTGCTCGTGTGAAGTAGTTTTGGAAGCACAGACTGTCTTTCAGCTCTTTGTACAGCTGATGAGTCTGTGCAGTGTTTACGTGAGCGGTACCTTCCAACACCTCAGCAACCACAAACTACACTCCTCTGCTAGATCATTGCAGCTTGGGTTTTTGCTCCTCCCCATGCTAACTTCTTTATCTGGTGGACAAGTATGATGAATAATGTAAATAGCAGTGCAATGGAATGATACCCTGAAATAGGGTCTTTTCTCTCAGCCGTGATGCAGGTTGTCTATAGAGAGGTGACTGAGTAGCACGGGATGGAGGGAATAAGTTTGTATGTGCGCTTTAGGTGTGTGGTCTTGCACAGAGCTGTAAGAGAAGTTATTCTTAAAAAGGCAGATTTGATTTCAGAAGCTGTCGCAGTGCAGATCAACAGCTTATCTTTAAAAACAAAATCTCAGTTCTCAGTATTATCTCTAAAAAGTCCCATTTTGTTTGAGATATGGTACCTGAAAATATTCAGTGACCGTGATGTGCATTGGCTCCAGTGAATTTTGGTTTGGTAGAGCAGAATAAATGTTCATGGCCAGATGCGCTGAAAGCAGAGGTTATCCTGTATAGAAATGTCTGCTGGTGCTGGAAATTTCTGGAGGAGTTGGTCTCATAATATTTCTAGCTCTTCAGGTTAGAAGGGAGAGGCTGCTGAAATGAGGTATAGCAGATTTCTATCTCTTCCTGGCATGATTTTGGCTTTGTACGTAAAGAGAGGTATAGGAGAGAAGCACAAGTGCGTGTGACTGATTGGCAAGAACAGACAGTAAGAGGGGGAAGGGGACGGGGTCTCTTTCAATCTGGTCTGTCCTTGGGTTTTTGCAGCCTCGCTGCTGTTGCTGATGCCACAGCCTTTTTCAGCTGTAGGCCTGCCAGATCCGCCTCGCCGCCTGGGGCTGGGACGCACCATCCCTGCCTGAAACTCCAAGTACACACTGCAGCACCTCGGAGCGAGTCTGTAATCAGTATGCAAATGCCTTGCACTGCACAGGGCTGCTGAGGAGAGGAAGGGCAGCCACGATGCTGGCAAATGTTTTTGGGATCGTTTCTGAGGCATCCCATGTCATATTAACAAAGGCACTAGTTAAGCATATGGTGAGACCCTAGAGTGGTTCTGCATTGTTTCCCTTCCTGTACTGCCTTTCGCTTCAGGACCCGAAACCAGCTGTGGTAAACTGCTCAAGGCAGATCATCGGCTAAATAGGATTATGGTGGCTAGGCATGAAGCGTTTCCTGCAGGGGATGTGAGAGAAGTGAGCGCGTGCGGAGGGGAAACCCAAGCATACAGCAGAGGGCAAGACACAAAGGGGGAAATAAATCCTGCAGGAGGGGAAGGGCCGGCTGAGCTTCCATCCTTCCACCCACAGGCTTGGAGGCTGTGAGGTGGGGAGGCAGCGGCCCCACTGCGGGGTGCTGGGAGGGATGGGGCTGGGCGGCCATGTCAGGCCCGGGGAGCCGCACCTGCAGCGGCCCCTCAGCCGTCAGCAGCGCTAATGAGCGCGGCAGCCCCGGCGCCGGGGGCCAGATGGAGGCACAAAGAGGGCTGGTGAGGCGCTTGGAAAATCATCTTTCCCTCATCTTCCTGCCCCAGCCGCCCCCCTATCCTCATCTTATTAGTTTACGTAGCAAAAACACGCAGAGCGAAGCGGTGTTAACGTGAAGCAAGAGGTTGTATTAAATCTCCTGGTGGTAGTGCTTATCTCGAACGTGGGGCCGATGTGACATGTTCACAATTGCTACAAAAGATGAAGAATGTTCTCATAAAAAGACAGACAAGCATGGAGACAATGGGCTGGCTCGGCTCGAAGTGACAAAGCAGAGCTTGCGATTCATATGCTTAAAACCATATAATGCATATTGTATTGCGATCATTTTGCTCTTTGGAAATGCTAGTGCTTGACTTCCAGGAGGCCTAGATACATATTCATGTTCTGGGCAGGAACGTGTTCTCTTTTACACGTGATAAACGCAGAGGGCAGGCTGATTTCCAGTCAGCAAACGTTTGGTCTCTCCTCTGGTAATAAATGGGCTTTATTTATGCATGGATTTCTAACAAAAGTCTTCAGCACTTTGTCTGAAGCAATCTATCCAAATATCCCTGAGTGCCACGAGATGAGTATGATAAGTTGCTTAGTCACTAAGCACACTGCAGAGGTTGGGGAAACTGTTCCCTTTTCACGGGAATATAATCACGAATATAAAAATAACCACTGTACATATTTTGGCACAAAACAAGTGCAGCATTTGGTGATGGGCAAACAATTAAGCTGTGTCAGAAGAGACGGATTTAGGAAGACTTCAGTACTGTTCAGAAATATTTTTTGAGCTTTATCACTGATGTGTCTTTTTTTCCCCTCTAGCAAGTTCTCCAAGATTAGTTGAGGGAAATTAGGAAGGAATGAGCACAAGAGACCTGGGAAGCAAGAATCTGAAATGCCAAGGCTTAATTCTTGTTCTCATCTGTTTTCTTTGAGGGTTTGTCTGGAATGTAGCTGAGAGCTGTGTTACCTAACAGGTAGAGACAAGGAATTGTTCAAGTGTTGGAGAGGAGGAGTAACAGCCACTTTCTCTGTTTTTCTAAACCATAATGCTTCTCCATTCTTTCTTTGTTGCTTTTTTTTTTTTTCCTGCCTCCCTTCTGTGTCCCTTAAAGGTTACTCCCAAGCTCTCAAAGGCCTTGTGTGTTTATCTCATTCACAGTGGTCCTCCTGCCTGATCAGGTTATTTCTGGAAGGGTGACAGTGGATCAGAATAAATTGCTCATTAAATTTTTAACTTGCAGTCTCTAAAATATTCTGAAAGCTTCCTATCATGTGTGTTCTAAATGGTGTAATTTCTCTTGGATTCATAACCAGCTCTGTCAAAACGTAGGCTGGGCTTTTCATTACTGATAATAACACCACCTGTCTTGAGAAATGCAAGTAAAGGTGTCAGTAAAAGTATTACACATTCTGAAATAAGCAAATATCAATACCCATAGAGAGCTTAGCTATTAACCTTTAAAAATTAATAATGCGGACTTGGTGAATTGAAGTGCACTTAGATTTAAACACAGCCTGATTTTTGTTGACCGATCACGTGTGAAATACCATAAAGCTAGCTCTTTAATTTTTAGAGTTGCCATTAAAGAGATAAATCGATCTTGAATAAACTGAAGCGACTTCATTCCTGCATGTTGTCTCTGACGCAAATGCAGCCAATCTGCTGCATGCTGTGCTAAGGTCTTTTCAGTGCCAAGGTTATTCTGCACAGAGGCTCTTGGATACCGCTGGTGTTTGTTTGCATTGCATAGAACAGCTTGTTAGAGTGCACTCCAGCCACTGAGCAGATCCAGACTTGTCCCTATTCTTTGGGAATCTGTATGAAGCAGAGGTTTCCTTTGTCTCTAATTACGCGGTTGAAAGGAAGGCGTTTATACCGCTAGGGACGAATTCAGTGTTCGTGAAAACAAGGACAGTGCAGCATTGGATAGCCACACAGAAATGTGAGGAGGTGTCATGCACGAACAGAGGACTGTTCCAATTCCAACCTTAATTCCAACCTTAATGCTTTATATAAGTGCGGGTTTGGAGAAATTACTGAGTCAGCACAAAGAAGTATGTAGTTCCCCACAGAGGGAAAGGGGCAGGGTGGAGTTTTGGGTGTGATTCCTTTTTTTATTCCCTTTGGAGAGCTTACTAAGAGTACAGGGGTACAGAAGAGCATGGTGAGGAGCTGCAGAATGATGTCCGGGCTGTGAAGGTGGCTAGGAAGAAGATGTGGATGGGCTCAAAACTAGTCAAATTACACACTGTTCCTGTGCTGATCTAGGCAGTGCTATTTAAGCAGCTCACGTAAAGGGTGTAGTAGGAATCTCAGGTAGGCATACAACTTGTTCTAATGGTTGAAGGATGAATTAAAGCAAGCATAATAATAATCCTTAATTTGCCTTTTGTTTGTCCTTTTAGGTTGGCTCAGCAAGTCCAAAGGACCTACATGTGAGTAGACTCATTCACTGCTGTACTGTGAGAACCAAGTGTGGTGTTTAACCTCTTATATTAACCAGTAATAAGCTAGGATTCACAATTTTACTTGTGTTGTGTTGGATGCTGAGATGCTCATTTCTATTTTCCTCCCTTGTATTTTGGAGGGATGGTTGCCCTCAGCGGAACTTCTTATGTTCCACTGTGCCTGAAGGCATCTCTGTGCATCCGCATAGCATTTAACTTCACATGACTCAAGGAAAACCAAATAGAATAAATATTTCATTAAAACACGAAAAGAAGGATATGAAGCCTGTGAAAGTGTTGAGAGGTTGCCAGAGAGGATTGGGAAGGCAGGGAGGGCAAAACTGAGGCCAAAAAAAAAAACACGAAAACTTTTGTTTTCTTTAATCAAGAAAGGCGAAAATCTCATCACGGAGCATGACTGGATATATTGCATTGGATACTCAGCTTTTCATTTCCTGTGCTCAGAAAAAGTAAAACCTTTCCTGTATGCATGTTACAGAGGAATGTAATTTTGGGAGGAAGTGGGAAGCTTATTTGGCTGTCTGTATCTGTTCTAAATATATAAAAATTTGTGTAAATCTTTGTTGAACTCTGAAATGTGATCTGCTTAGTCTGAATCTTCCCCTTCTCCACAAAAAGAGAAGACAAGAACAGGGTCCGATGGGAATGGATTCACAAAGAACTATTTAAAGGTGTGGGAGGGTGATCTTAACACCTACCAAATTCTGGTTGTCACAAAGTGGGAGGGGGAGAAAAAGAGCAGATGGAGTCTTCTGAATCCTGAATTTTTAATCTGTCTAAATTTGACTCCTGGCAAGACTGGTGTAACACACGTCTAGTATGAAGGTGCCTTCAGTTCTTGGCCATGGTTTCTAGCAGAAAATAAGCTACTTTAGGAAATAGCTCAAGCATTGGCTGGTCCAGCTAACGCGTCTTGGCTTCGCTTTTGGGCTGGAACAAGAAAGATGGAAACTGGCAGGAGTTTCACTGTAGAGGAAAGCAGGGAGAGGAGTTGTATGGCATGGTTCCTTCTTCAAGAGAAAGTTATTTGTGAGTTTAGTCCAGGTTCTGACTTGTCTCTGTATTGGCGTTCCCTAATGTCTGCTGCATGCTACGCTGAAGATACAGACTTGTCTGTCTTCAGACAAGCAACTTCCTCTTATACTTCCTCTTATCAGAGTCCTTCTTCTTTCTCTGCGTGACTCCATCGTTTGGGAAGAATTTATTTTTTTTCCCTAGTCTCATAGGAAAGATGTTCTTTTGTTACCCTTCTATTCAATTCGTTGCCTTATGCTTCCCCTGAAATGCTTCTCTTGGCACACACCAAGCAGGTCCTTACAACAGGACAGAAGAAAGTTTCCTTGCCATGACCTTGTGCCATTTGCGATTCCTTTGCTGCTTGTGTCCCTTTTGACTCCTAAACTGGTTACCTTGGTAGTTAAAGCATGACTTTTTTCAGTTACGTTGAATGCTTTTCCTTCCTTGTTGGACCTATTCCCCTTCATCTGTGCAAGTGACAGGATTATGTCTTATGAGTTTGTACCTGTTTATCTGTGTGTGTTGATCTGCATCTAAAAAAGCATTTTCCTTTTAATGAACAAAACCTCTGGGGAGTGTTTTTCTTCCTCTGCAAGCAGGAATTCCCCTGAGGTAATTGAGTCTCTGCTTTTGCAAAGTGTTGTATTGGAGCTGGAGGACTGGTGAATTGTTTGTTTCCAGATGTGAAGTCTTTTAAGGGATTTGAAATATTCCCGTAGGTATGCGACTGCTTAGATGGGTTGCCAGGTGGATTGGGCTAGAGGGGGTTGTTACTGAAACTGTTAAAGAATAAACTGAGCTTTCTGGCCCAGCCTAGTGCAGTGATCCTCTTATAATGGAAAGAGGACTGGAGCTTTGGGAGTTCCTGTGCCGAGGAGACTCTCAAGAGGCAGTGGGGATGCTCACTTAGTGCTTGTATACCTTGGCTTGCCTCGTGCTGGATGGAGATGGTCGTGTGTTCCTTCTAGAGAGGGACAGTGCCAGGAATGCAAGGGTGAGTGCATTTATCTGCTTGGTGTGCGGCAAGAGAAGCATTTCAGGGGAAGCATAAGGCAAAGAATTGAATAGAAGGGTAACAAAAGAACATCTTTAAATGCTGTGGGCTCAGAGGTCTATGTCTAGCCCATCATTGTAATTCAGAGGGGAAAATCTATCCTCTTGGTGAACAGAGAGACACATTGCTGCAGCTTCTTGAGATGTATTTTTTTCCCTTTGTGAGTGAAAGGAGAATCGTGTCTGATTTGAGAAATGTGGACTTCCTGTAGATTGGAGTATGCAGCTCTGTCAGAGGATGTATTGAGTTCTCTGCCCAAGGTCAGGGAAGGAACATGATAGGCCTCACATACATGGAGAGGTATAATGAGGAAGCCAGAAGCTGCTTTTAAAGCTTAGAGGAACATTTTCTATGTTCTGAGAAAAGGACCAGCATGGTGTATGAGTTTCATGCCGGACACGCCTTTATGTATCCATAAATCTGTGCATCAGAAAGAATAAAATTGTGTTTTGTGATCTTACCAGTGTTGCTGTTCAGGCAACGTTGCAGTTTGGGAAATGTCAGCTGCTGAGACAATAGGTGAAGTGTTTCTGCTTTAGGTAGCTCTCTTTCCTTCAAAATACTCTAGTCCTCTCTGGAACCTCTCTGAGCCTAGAAATGGACTACAAACAGATTGAGATTTGTAGGAAGGTGGCAGAATAGACTGAAGGTAAGTGAAGCAGAAGATCCCCAGAAGGAGAGGAGGGGGACGGGGAGTTCAGGAAAGCAGAAAGGTGAAGGCTTCCACAGGTGGAGTTGTGAAAAGATCCTGGTGGTTTAAAAAGCCAATTAGTGGCTTGGTGATTAAGTAGTGTAAGTCCTGAAAGAAGGTGGTGTTTTAATTTTAGTTATGCAAGCTGATTAGAGTGGTTGAGAATAGTACAGCCTTGAGAGGGAGAAGTGTAGTAGAAATATATACTTTTTTTTTTTTTTTAATGGTTAGGTAAGTGTCTTAATGCAGGAGTATACAGGGATATGCCTTTAATGCATTAGGCTTTTGAGGCTTTTTTGTATGCAGCAGCACTGACTGACTAATGAGACTGTGGCAGAGTTTAAGAACTCAGGGTTACGAAGCGTGTGTGCCCTCCAGGGACCAAAGCTCTGAGGCTGGAGCCTCCTCCAGGCAGGAGCAGAGCAGGATGATGATGGGGGTTACTGGAGCCCTGGCTGTCTGCCCACAAGGGCGCTGACCTCTGTGTAAAACAAAAGACAAAGAGGAATTTCAGGTGGAAGTTGCTGCCGTGTTCAGAGAAATGTCTATGACTTTCTGAGGAAGTTCTGCTTTTCTTAGTTTGTCTGCAGTTTCATAGCTAAAAGCAGCTTTGCTCCTCTCCCCCATCCTGCAGTTGTCTGCTACACCCGCTGTAGAGGAATCCTTACTGTAAACAAGTTAAACCTATTAAAGCTGCTGGACCCTGGATCCCTGTCAACACCAAGTACTGCTCCCTGCTGATGGCAGTGCTCTCCGGGCAGGGTCTGTGTCACTGTGTGCGTGGAATGAAATGAGTGTCAGAGCGGGGTGTGGGGCTTCTGGTGCTTGCTGCGTGTCTGTTCTGGACCACCAGCATCATCAGGGAGCCTGGCCAGGGGACTTACCTGATGCTGCAGAGGTCTTTTGGAAAGTAACTCTGTGTCGTACCAAAATCAGAGCTGTTGATTTATCCTTGCTGGGAGGAAAGTATGCCTTTCATCTTGTTTAATCTGGCCTCTTTCACTCCTACCATCATAGTGGCCAAACTTGAAACTCAGACTCCTGGGGATGTGCCTGCTATGTAACCTGTCTCCAGTAGTTCACCTTTTCTCCCCAAATTACATGTTTATTAAAAAGGACTGGTACTGCCAGAGTTGTGCTGAGCCATGTGTTGTGCTGCAGAGTGTCTTTGCTTCTCTTCAGTACAAGCAAAGGACCATATCCTTGAGGTTTTGTGTTACTATAATGATGGCCCTTCCAATATGTCACTGGTTTTAGTTTCCCTACCAAAAGTAACCTTGGGGGATATTCCTCTAGGACAACCTTCTGGTTTTGTTGTAAACACTTTCTTGGATGTAATTGGCTTACAAGATACAAAAGATAGAGGTTTTATCATTTGAGTGCTTAGATTCAGCTGCTATTTTCTCTAAAGGGAGGAAATTATTAATTTTTAATACAAAAGCTGAAAAATCTTAACATAGTCACAGGCTGCCATGAGCTTGCCTTTGAGTGCAATTCTTGGTGAAACCCATGAAGATGCGGTGTTTGTTTTTACTATTGTATTTTTAGTCCTCAATTTTGCCTTCCCAACAAGCTAGTTTTGCTGTAAATGTTATTGACAGCCCAAAGTAGAAATTAATATTGCTGTGATGTAGATGTCCTTGAGCTAGCATAACTTTAACCTTCAGACCTTCCACTTTCAGTCTCTTTATTTGCATTTATTTCTCAAACTCGAATGTCATCTTTAGGTTGACGTTTTCAGCTTTGATAGTGCTGTGCTGGAAGAGGTTAGTCCCTGTGAGAAGGTTTGTCTCCTCTAAGCACCCCGGAGAACTGATGGTCTTGGCATTTGTCTTTAACTCAGGAGACTCCTCAGGGCTGCAGCACCTCTTCAGAGCACTGATTATTTTATACATGTATATTTTTTCCTGTCAGCGTTGCCTCAGACTGGCTTGGTTCTGCTTTAACTACCTCTTTCCAGTGCTGGTCATGTGCTGATGCCGTGAAGACTGGTGTGCTGGAGCAGGCAGCAGTGTGACTGCGTGGAGGGAAGGGGAGGTTGCAGCCTGCCTCCCACTGCACTGAGCATCCCTGAGTCTTGCCATCAGCAGAACTGGGAGAGCCTGGCAGAGGCTGCTAATTAGGGGTGTTGTGGGGAGGTTCATTCTCCGGCTACAATCAAGATGAGCAAAGGCTTAACTATTTTACTGCATACCTCTGGCCACC